TGGGCCACAATGTCCAACGTCTAGTTCTGTCTTAATAAAGAATATCTGAATATATTCTTAACCTGATCATTTATGAGCAATCCCACCTGCCTGATTAATTGACAAAGATTTAGATTTGTGTTGAGCGTTCCCTCATGAAGAAATAATAAGTGTTTGAGATGATGGATATACTAATGATAAGTATACATTATATGTATTGAGACATCACTACCCCATAAATATGTACACAAAAGATTGAGATTTGTAGAGAGTAAGAATATTGTATACATTTTAATTTGAATGCAGTCCATTTTATAACAAATACTAAATTATTAAAAAGACCATGTGTTTCATTTGAAAACTGTTGGATTTATAGTTTATTCTAGATTGTTAGAAATAGCAGTCCACCTGCAGTATAGTATTGCCTCAAACTGAGAAGACACTGGAACTGAGAAACAGGACATGTCACCTGTTGCTTGAGGACAGGAGGAAATGGCCTGATTGTCATTGCCCTCTTCCTGAGGGTTCCCAAAGTGGGTCTCACTCACATCCTGGTTTTATCCACTTGGAATACTCACCCCTGAAGACGTATGCCAGGCCAGCACCCCGTTTTGGACCAGACAGGGCCTCCAAGCACTGTCCCCAGCAGGGAAGGTGCCACCTGCAACGGCTGTTGCTTTTCCCGTTGGTCCATGTACTTCCCAGACCCACTCAGAAAAGGGGCCTGTTAATGCCTCACCTGCCTTCTGTTGCTTTAGAGGGAGACAAAGTATAACTAACATCAGGAACCAAGCCTGGAGTGCTAACCAGTAAGAATTTTCTCTGATTCCTACACACAATCCGTGTCAAACTAAAACAAAATCGGTATCTAAACCTAAACTGATTTTGTGTTTACTTCACTTTTTCCTAAGAGGTATAACCACAACAGTATCCTTTTGGTCATTCCCCATACATCAGTGAATTAAAGCAAGAACATTTATTTATTTATCTATTTTAGTTATACATAAAGTATCTATAGATCCACTGAGGTTTAGCAAGAGTTTAACTTAGGGAAAAACTAGTCCTAAGAGAAAACAGCAGATCACAAAGCTATTGGCGTTAACCCATTTAGTTATTCCTTTGTTTATTCGGTTGCTATGTATAGATTGGCTACTATGTGCCAGAGGTTGTGGCAGGTGGAAATATAGGAAGACTAAGACATACTTTTTTTTTTTTTTTTTTTTTTTTTTTTTTTTTTTTTTTTTTTTTTTTTTTTTTTTTTTTTTTTTGAGATAGAGCCCCACTCTGTTGTGCCCAGGCTGGAGTGTAGTGGCATAATCTCAGCTCACTGCAACCTCTGCCTCCTGAGTTTCAAGTGGTTCTCTTGCCTCAGCCTCCCAAGTAGCTGGTATTACAGGCACACACCTACCATGCCTGACTAATTTTTTGTATTTTTAGTAGAGACAGGGTTTTTGCCATGTTGGCCAGGCTGGTCTTGAACTCCTGACCTCAGGTGATCCACCTACCTCAGCTTCCCAAAGTGCTGGGATTACAGGCATGAGCCACTGCACCCAGCCTCTAAGACATAGTTCTTGGCTTCAAGGCACTTATACATATAAGCCCCCTGGCCCAGGGAGCAACTTGGAGGGAAGCACAAGGGCCTCTGAGAACAAACAAGGAGTATCCCAGTCAGACTGCATGGCCTAAGTCTGTGTTGTATAAAACTTCTGGAAACCCTGTAAAAATTGGGAGACATGATTTTGACTTTAAAAGAGAGCTAACTCTAAAATAATTCTATTTTGAAACCCAGAATCTGAAGAATAATCATCCATCCAAATTTGAAGATCCTATATTAGTTCCTCTTCAAGAATTTGCATGGCATCAATATCTACAGGAGAAAAAAAGGGTAAAGGATATTTGGGGTGTCGGGGATATAGGCAACAAGCCAAGTTTTGCCTGAATTATTTATGCATTGTTTTAGAAAAACTGAAAGAGTAATTTTAGTGTAACTAGATTTTATTTCTCTAAATTATGTACCTTTCCTAAATTATATTGTTTACCAAGCTGGGTTTTTTGTTTCTGAGACAGGGTCTCACTCTGTTACCCAGGCTGGAGTGCCGTGGAGCAATCTTGGCCCACTGCAGCCTCAACCTCCTGGATTCAAGCATGCCTCCTGCCTTAGCCCCCTAAGTAGCTGGCATTATAGGCACACACCACAATGCCAGTTAATTTTGTATTTTTTTTAAATTTTTATATTCTTTTAAGAGATGGGGTTTTACCATGTTGCCCAAGCTAGTCTCAAACTCCTCAGCTCAAGCACTTACCCCACCTTGGGCTCCCACAGTGCTGGGATTATAAGCGTGAGTCACTGCGCCCAGCTACCAAGCTGTTTTTTTTTGTTTGTTTGTTTTTTTTTTTTTTTTTTTAAGTACAACATTTACAGGATTTTCCTTTGGAAAGCATGAGATAAAGTAAGATCGATGGCGCCATTTACCGCTGAGGATGGTTAGTTACCCTGTCTCCCTGCACATCATTTATACTTCCTCTCATACCCTGGCACTCAGGTTAATGTGGCGTGGTCCTCTTGGTCCTTAAACTCTGGAAAGTGTTGATGGTGTACATCACAGAGACAGCCAGGGGCTTCTGTGGGACTGTTGCCTGGGGAAGCTCTGATGATAGGCACTGAGCTCCCAGAGGGCAACCCTGTCCTAGTTGAAGCCTCTTTCTCTGCCTTCTCCCCTCTACCTGTATCCTCAGAAAACTCCACACCTTAGGGCCAGCAGAGCTTGTTCAGGGATGA